GGATTTCGACGGAAAAGTAGTCGAATCGACAGAGGTGAACCAGGAGCCCACAAAACTCTTTTTGGTTCCGTCAGAAACCACCCCTGTCCAGAGAAACTTGAGTTTTGAAGGGATGGTCTTTTGAATCTGGCGGGCAGCGTTCAATGGGCTGCCTACCTAGCAGGCGAGCCGGTCCAAGAAAAACAGGCGTAACTCACTTAAAATCGACAGGCGGCTTGGAATTTCGACGGAGAGACTGAAAGATGATGCTGTCGGACCAATCCCAACCATTTCCAGCGATTTTAATTTTCCTAGCGAAAATTGATGGGTCCGGATTTCAACGGAAAAGTAGTCGAATCTACAGCGGTGAACCAGGGGACCATAGTACTACTTTTGGATCCGTCAGAAACCACCTCTGTCCACATTTTTAAGTGGTGGTCTTTTCGACTATAGGCAGGTTGCCTACCTAAGGCGCACATAAGCTTAAGTAACAGGAAAAGAACTCTGCTAGTGGGTCAGGTCCACGATATTTGGACGGAGCAACTGAAAGAGGGGCTTATAACTTTAGGGAGTTGTGAGTTATGAGTAGCGAGTTGAGGGTATGAGTTGACGGTATGAGTTGCGAGTGGTCACTTGCATTTTCTGGCACATTATTTTGTCCTATTATGGCATTATTTGCAAAGTGGAAGAAGTTTTACGTTATAGGGAGGTCGATTAAAAGCCCCTTCTAGTGATAGAGGACGAAATGTGCCAGAAAATGCAAGTGACCACTCGCAACTCATACCCTCAACTCATACCCAGTGAGAAATTTTTTCTGACGACATCGTTTTGACACCGTTTTTTACGTCGTTTCGACTTAAAAGTGGTCCTGAAATCGACGGCTTTTCGACAGTTGATGTCGTTTCGATGCCGTTTCGACGTTTCACTGTCGAAAAGCCGACCGTCTGAAATATCGTGTTCGGGGGTTTCCTCGCACGCTGAGTCCAAATCTGGTAGTGCCGATGTCGTCCGGGCTCCCGGGGACGTCATTGGGGACTTCCCGAGCACGCCGATGACCCCTTCCCACCCCTCCCACGACAAATACGATTCAGCGCTCCAAACGTCGTCGTGTACCCCGGCTGGTGCATATTTCTTAAAAGTCACCAAATATAATTATTATTAATAGCAAATCGCCCATAATAGTTTATTATCCTGATCATTTCATTATTGTCACACGCTTGGAGCCACACAACGATGCACGGGACGGGAAGCATCCCCAAAGGATCACATCCTGGACAAGCGAGGCGGGATTGCCTACCCCAAGAAAAAATCACATCCCGCGACCACGACATGTGTCGGTGAGTGTGCCGTAATTATTGCTCTCCCCCTTTGCCCTTTGCCGTGCCGCGTCCCCTACCCCTCTCCTCCTCCCCACCCCCACCGCGCATTTCCCGCGCCTTTATGGAAACGTAAACAAACAGTGGAAAATCGGTGTCACCTTGGTGTGCCTTGGTCACCTTGGTGTCACGATCGGCGTTTCTGCCAAACACCGATAATACCTACTCATATAATTATTGATCATAGGATTTTAACCAGAATTTTAGAGTGGACATCGCCGCTTCTTTTCGTTACTAATCGCAAGGTATAGTGCTTACTTGTTTCCGGTCCGGAACATTGAATTGTTCCATTCCGGTTATTGTTGTAGGAGGTTAGTGTTGTCCTGTGGCTCAATGTTATTTCCACGCACAATTAAGTTGTAAGTTATTTTTTGAGGCCGATTAAATCATGCCCGTGATGTGGTCAGCTCTGTTGAAAAGGTGTTGAATGGGTAGACTCCTCCAATCCATGCAGTATGTTAAATACTGTTGAAGTCCTTATGCAAATGGGTGAACCTGCCAGTGTTTTATCACATATCATATATTTTACTCTATATTATTCTTGTGGAACAGAAAACTTTATTACTTTCTGGTTGGGGTGCAAATCGAGTGGTACTATTTGCGTAATCCCCCAAACAATCAATCAATGTGCGTTGCAGATAATTTGCAGCTGCCCCTTCGTACTTAATGTTTCATCCAGTGC